TACCGACATCTGGTGAAAATTTCATGTCATTAGCACCTCTAGTAATATATTTACTGAGAAAAATGTTGACGTGTTCAATACTTATTTTACCCGCTGTATGTTACTCTGAAAGGATTTTACCAGAAATTCCTCCACTTACAGAGAAGTTGAATTCAGAGGCAATTACATGCACCATTACTCTGTGAAAATACACTTAAAAATTTTGCAGCTGCAGCCTTTCTTGGTCTGGTTTGACCATGTGGTGGCTACTGTCTGCTAAAACTGGCTAACTTAAAGTTGGTATATTTACTTTTCAAGATCCTTTTTTTCAAATCTGGGGATCAGCATCTGTACAATTTACGGTTAAAATGCTTGTAAATGTAACTTTAGCTCTTGTCGCTTTATAGGCTCCTAGACACCAAACTGAGATCAACATGTAGTGATAACATACTCCCTGCTGTGACGTCGTTCTGATTCATGATTCAAGACAAAAAAAAGCACTTCAACACACTGCAAAGTGTCAAGTTGTGTAATTTATGTCCGTGCAAGAGAAACACAATTTTCCCAGGGGATCTTGAGGGAACTGAAAGATGTCAATGTAAAAAAAAAAGTCAAGTTTCTGCTGCTTTTGTCTGAAAAGAAGCAAAATGGTATCATGAGTAGGTAGATTTTAGGTATTTTATGATTGTATGATTTATGTGGTGTGGGGGTTCTATCTGTGTTGTGTTTTATTATGTTTTAATTWGTGCTGGGCATGTTAACACGTTATAAATGTGTTAATACAGCTGACGCTTAACAGCGATAATTTTTTTAACCTGCGTTAACAAAGTTATTTATTCATTTATATTTCTCCATTGGGTCTCTGTTTAATGGGCAGCTAGCACACACACACATAATGCGGTCACGGCAGGATCTTGATCACTACTGACTTTAGATGGCCTTCCTTGCGTGACTCAGCCAATGGGAACCTTTGTTGTCAAGCCGGTGCTTGGCAACTCGCAGATGCTCTCATGAACCCGACCGAGCTGCAGCCGAGGTAGAAACATGGCAGAAGTCACCAAATTCTTCAGGGCATTTTTTATTTTTAAACTTTTCCCAACAGCAAGCTGGAAAAAAGCAAAGTTCTCTGTAAGCTCTGTAACACTAAAGCTCTCTCACCACTGGAGCAGTTCCATCCTGAAATATGACTTCAGCTTAAAACCAGTGGAAACGAACAGAGGGAGGTTCTGCAAATGACACTGGTCAGCGTGTTAGAGAAGAGAAAAAAAGAAAAAAGTAAGAGCAGCTTACTTTGCCTTATTCGTTTAACATTTCTGAAAATGTGTTGCACCTTTTAATACAAAACAGTACCAAAAATGCTCTAAACATCTTTGAGTCCGTTTTGTGTAGAATAATAAGATTAAAACAAGAATTCAAAGAATTCATGTTTGTTTCATTCCTAATGAACATGAGGAATGAAAGGTAGATACTGAGGTCCCAGTCGTCAGCATAAATAAATAAATAAATAAATAAATAAATAAATAAATAAATAAACTGTACAGTGTGTCACACATGGAGTGTTTTGCAACATACAAACCTACACATTCAGCCATAGTAGAGGCATCAGTTCTAAAAATTAATTGCGATTAATCGCAAAAATATCTTGAGATTAATCGTCATTAAAATATCTATGCCCAGCTCTAGTTTTATTGTGTCTGAGCCTCTATCATAGATCAAAGACCATTTTCTGTTACAACCTCTGAATCTTTTTGAATCTTTGGGGATTAAAGTGGGGTGAGAAGGTTTGGACAGCCTTGTTAATTTTCCTGATTTACCTTTATAAATCATTGGTTGTTTGGATAAAAAAAACTGTAAAATATATCATATAGGGGACAAACACAGTGATATTTGAGAAGTGAAATGAAGTTGATATGATTTACAGAAAGTGTGCAACATGTTGCATAAATACTTTACTCTTGTGAGTTAACTGGAAAATCCCTCACTAAACTTTTGTCATCTCAAAATCCTTTCATACAATTTTTTTCTCAAGYCTTGACTTTTAAAACACACAGCTGTGACAGGTGAAGAGGAAATGGAGGTGATGCGTTTTGCTCACTCTGATACACTTTCAGCTCTCATTAAAGAGTGGGGGTGGGGGGACCAGGTCAGTTTATCAGCTAATAAAAATTGAATAAAGGAGTTTAGGATACAGATCACTTAAATCATTCACATTGAGAATAATCAGAAATGAACAAATGAAATAGACTTTGTTTAATTGCAGGGAATTCTTACCATAATATTTATACCAAACGAAGACCAAATTTTTCTTTTAAAATGTACAAAAATTGACTAAATCAAATGAGAACAAACAAACATTAATAAAATTACCCCAACACAACATTAAGAAAAATAATTTTGAGAATGATATTGAGGAGAAAAAGTATTTACTGGGAGATTTGCTGATTTGTTAATGTGATGCRAACTTTCCGAAATGAAGTGAGGATCGCAAAACCAACATGAAGCAAAACTCAGCTGTGTTAAYGTGGAACACATTAACACTGTATCGTATCGTTTCCAAATCATGATAAATTTCATCAGTTTAGTGATTCTGTGTGTTAAACACATTTACTGTACTAAAAGCAAAATTGCTTTGATAATAAATCTGTTTGCTGATGTTTAATCCTGTGAGCAGGTGGTTTCACAGGTCATCTCCTCAACATTATTAAGCCACTAAACCAGTTTACCTTTTCACATATCAACGGTTACGTCTATTTGCCAMACACCACTTTGATCCGTTCAAAAGTTACACAGAGGTGACCAGAAAGTGTGTAAGTGTTGACCTGAAGTGTTTTATGAAAGCACCTTGTGACTCTCCTACTTACTGTTGTGGATCAGTAGGTGACGCTGCAGAGAGAAGGGGGTGCGGAACAGCGCCTTGCACTCCTCGCACTGAAAGGGCCTTTCTTCTGAGTGAGTCTGCAGAGAACAGTTGAGTCACATCAGTGAGTTTTCTTTGGGGGGGGTGGGCTTCATGAACTGATGAGAGTGGTTCGTGTTTATTAGCGGTAGCTAATTTGCTTTGATGACTTTGATGGAGAAGAGCAGCTTGATGGGATTTAAGTTCAAAATGCTCCTGTTTGTCTGACCCTCCCTGCACTCTCTCGACGCCGCCATCTGCCTATCTATCTGAGTGACACTGTAATCTCAAAAGTAAACACAATGACCCCAGGGGGTCTGGAGAGATCCGGGGACCACACAAAAAACAGCCATTGATGAGATCYTGCTTTATCACAGCCAAACCCAAGACCAGTTTTAAAGGGATCCCCGATTAGTTGTTACATTAGACTTTATTTGAKAAACATATATTTTAACTGTAAAATAAAAACTGTAAAAATATTTAGTTTTGTAAATTTTTAAAAATATATTTTAACATGGACGGACCCATTTTATTTACACACAAAGCATTCTGGGTAAATGATAACGTGGATAGGTCCTCGGTGTGAGAGAGCTATATCCACCCTGAAGGTTAATCTTAGACAATT